TTGAGCTCGTTGATCTCTTCCTGGTATCGCATGTTCTTGTCGGCGAGCTCTTCAATCATCTCCTCAGCCCCAAGTGCTGTTTCCAACTGCTGCTTGAGGTCTTCAACATTGTTCTCAGATACAAGCAGCTTGTCTTTTGTTGCTTCGTACTGGGATTTAATCGCAGCATAATCCTCCAAATCCTGCTGGAGTTCCTTGATCTGATCTCGTAGCTCTGATTCCTGCTGTTGGGTCATGTCCCGAAGACGAATCAAAGCTTCGCGGAGGCGCTCATTTGTCTTCTCCATTTGGAGCCATCCATGGCTGGATTTCTCCTCAGGAGTCATGACCTGGCCAAGCTCCTCGTTCTCTTCCTTTAGGACATCCAGCTCCAGCTCAAGCTCCTCAACTCTCGTCCTTAACACGGCACACTCGTGCTTGAACGCATCAGCCGTCTCTTCGGCCATTTCACGGTCCAATGCGGCCATTTCCAGGATCGACTCATGCTCCGCTTGGAGACGCTCAACCTCCTCAAGCTTGGCCTCTGTGTCTTTCAGTTTCTTGCGCAATTCTCCAATCTCAAGCTGTTGCGGCTGGTACTTTGCTTGCAGCTTCTGGATAATGGCTTCGAACTTATCCCTCTCTGACTGTAGTTTCTCTAGGGTTTTAAGCTTTTCTCGGTCCTCCGCTCGTTTCTTCTCCATGACCTTGAGTTTCGTCTTCATCTCATCAAGCTCCCTCGCGACTGCGGCAGAATTGTTTTGTGTTTGCCGTTGCGAGGAAGACGTGAGGCTAGGGCGGCCGCCGGCCGGACGCCCCGAGCTCAGTGCCTTTTCAGATGCCTTGCGGGTAGGAGCCTCGTTTCCGTCCATGTCAGGCTCAGCATCTCTAGGATCTATCTCAGGATCCTCCGAATAGGCACTCGTGTGGCTTTCTGTTTCCTCCGATGACTTGTTGGGAGCGGTTGGGCGCAGTGCAGGCCGCTTCAACTGTCCCGAAGATGTTGTTGGTTCACTTTGAAGACTTGGTCTAGCCGCCTTGCTGGCTGGTCCTGATATAGACGGTCGAGATTGGCGAGCGGCGGCAGAGGGAGGCGGAGGAGGGCCCATCGACGTCTTTGGTCCGGACGGAGGGCGGGCTTTAACTGCGGACGACCGCGAAGGGCCACTGATGGACGAACGAGTTGAGGAAGCAGGAACGGCGGGGGTCGATGGAGACTTGATCGGCGATTTTAGCGGCGACTGGACCTGCGACATGTTAGCAGTCACCAGCACATTGGCACGCAGGGACCGATGTACCCTAGACGTCCGCTGAGATGCGGACCGCGACGTTGGCGACGGGCTCGCAGCACTGACGCTATGTCTTTTGACATTGTTCGCAGGCAAAGCGCTGGGTCTTTTCATGGCAATCCCACTTGTTGTAGAACCAGTCTGAGCTCGTCCTCTGTTCGCTGGAGCACTGGCGCCGCCCCTGGCAGGTTGTTTCGTCTCTCGCACAGGCTGTTCAACGATAGCGGCAACTGCAGACGGTCGTATAAACATTCCATAGCCCGGTTCACAGTCAAAATATCGTTCTCCTTGGACGGCGCCATCATTTTTCCCTGTAGGTTCATCAAGCTCAATACCGACCCAATCGCCGGCAGCAAAATGCGTAGTCCCAATAAACCGGACGGTGGCCTGCCGACCGTCGGTCAGAGTGACTACATGGCCAATAAATAATTCAGACATGGCACAACATTCGGAATGACAGCTCTTGCTCAATCAATGGCCAATAGAAGTTCGGATGCAGGCCTAGATCAATGGCCGAGGAGATGAGGTGTTGATGTGTTTGTTGCTCCCTGAGCCTCAGGACGCGACACCGCGTGATTGGCTGCACCATAGGCCTGAGGCATCAGCCCCTGACACATTTAGCCAAAGCGTCTAAACTATAAAGCGCAAGTGGCCGGAGCGTCCACAGTCCAATTTCCTTAGTGCTTTCGACTACAGAGTAGTTCCTGGGTAGACTAGGCAGACTACATCGTCGCCGCGAATCATCCGTCGGCGCATCCGGGCAATCTACCCGAAAGAAGTTACTCAGTTCTGTACCACAAAACTAATGTCAACAGAACTGTTGGCGGCTAGTTGGGAACACCTCCTGCGCCGCATCTTGGTCTGGCAGCTCTCTCAAAAGGACACAGAAAAGCACAACTTCTTGCAGGCCGTTCGATGGTGGAAGCGGACCATTCGCTATGAAAGCGCATCAATGGTTTAGTGACTTTCGTCCATGGCAGGCTCTGAATGACTCGTTTGGAGTCGTTCCTTTCGAACGGTCGAACCCCTGTGGGACGCTATCAATACGCTCTAAGCGATGCTTAGCTGCTGGTCCGGGACCATGTAGGCAATTTCGCAAAATCCAGACTTAGCCTCAAAATGGTTCTCTTGGACTGGTGAAGTCGCTTTTCGGGCCCTGGCCGTGATATCCACACTTTCACAAGCAGGCAAGAGTCCATTTACAACAGTGGCTAGGAATACCCTTGTGCACTCACTAGACCACTAGACTAATTGTTGGTTGAGTCAAGTCAATATCGCAGGGTTACATTGGGGCGACTCCCTGTATAATAAACATGTCTTCTCTCCTGGCGTCGAGGCTTTTTGGTCTCCTTTCCTTTGTAGGAACCCCGCGCTACATAGGCTGTTGTCCTTAATATAAGTGAAAAGCAGTTCCTGCTCTTTCCACAGTGTTCATTCTGACATATCAATTGCTGTATCATTCCTTTTCTGACAAGCTCTCTCTTCAAAGTCATCAGCAGAACTGGCAAAACAGGACGGCGAAAATGCGGCAGTCTTTGTATCACGGTGCAATCTGGTCTGCTTTAGCCAGCCTTGCATCGGCTGATGCTCCATCTTCTCAGCAATGGGCTGAGAGAGCAATCTACGTTTGTCTTCCTTGAACCTTATCACATGGGTCGAACGTCAAGCGTGACCGTCTCGGCTCAAAGTACTGACAGTGTCATCCATGTAGCAAGTTATGACAGACCGCTTTGCTCGCCCAAAGGGCTCATCTGACGCACCTTGTGACCCCATCAGGTACTGTGGAGGCTCGTGGACTGGCATCATTGACAAACTCGACTACATCCAAGACCTCGGATTCACCGCCATTCAAATCTCGCCGGTCATGGAAAACATCCCGGACAATACCAAGTACGGCGAAGCATACCATGGATACTGGCCCAAGAATCTGTATGCTCTCAATGAACACTTTGGGACCGCAGAGAAGCTTCACAGATTAGTGAGCGAGGTCCATAGACGAGACATGTACCTAATTGTTGATGTTGTGATCAATGATATGGCTCAAGCTGTCAATGGTTCCATGAAAGATGACCCGTCTCTGAAGATTGACTATTCCCAGCTCTTTCCCTTTGACGATGAGAAGTACTATCATCCTTTCTGTGCCATCACGGACTGGACTGATCCTAAAATGTACAAGGATTGCTGGTTTGCCGTGGAAACGGTTGCCCTGCCAGATCTGAACACAGGAGATACCTCCGTCGCCACAATGATCGGAGATTGGATCAAGCAATTTGTTGGTAACTATTCTATTGACGGACTCCGCATTGACGCTGCACTGCACATGGATGACGACTATGTCGAGAGCTTCTCCAAGGCGGCTGGTTTATTCACAATTGGCGAAGTCAGCAACGGAGACACAAGCCTGGTGTGCAAATACGAGAATTTGGTTTCTAGCGTCCTGAATTATCCACTATATTACGCCTTGATCCAAGCCTTCACAGCGGGCAATATGCTTGGACTCGCTGAAAGTATCCGAGCCGTGCAAAAGGATTGCAAGGATTTCACGCTTCTGGAAACGTTCGTGGAGAATCACGATCTCCCTCGTTTTGCGTCACTGACCAATGACACGACCGTACGTTTGGATGATTGCACCAGACATTTTATATCAGCTAACAGGTACAAATTAGCTGGCAAAAAACGCGATGGCTTTCAACATTCTCTCAGATGGCATCCCCCAAGGTACGTTCCTCGACATGACACAGGCGGTCCCCAGGCAGCGCTAATAAATTCAACCAGTATACCAAGGTCAAGAGCAGCACATGCCGGGCAACTACACGCCTTTCAACCGAGGAGCCCTTTGGACAACGAACTATGATACCACGAGCCCGCTATTCAAGCTCACCGCAACGCTGAACAAGCTCCGCAACCACGCCATTAGCATCGACAACCGCTATGTGACCAACCATAGCGTAGAGCTTCATTCCGACAACTCCACGTACGCCACCAGGAAGGGCCCCGAGGGAGCGCAGATCGTTTCAATCTTCTCAAACCAGGGCTCCAATGGTGGCAAGTACCAGCTTGCGTTAAAGGATGCGTATGCGCCTGGGACAGAGGTCATGGAAGTCCTGGGCTGCTCCAAGCTCACTGCTAATGACGCAGGCAATCTGACCGTTGAGATGGACGCTGGTGAGCCAAGGGTCTTTTTCCCTGTCGCACAACTCAATAACTCTGGGTTGTGTGGCTTTGAGAAACAGAAGACTGTCTCGTCGAGCAACAGCGACAGCAACAGCAACAATTCGACCCACCCCTCTAACAACGACAAGGACGAGGATAAGAAATCCTCTGCGAGTATCGTTGCCGTTCCATGCCCTAGTATTTTGGTCTCTGGGGCAGCATTGGCGGTTATGAGCTGGTTTCTCTGATTGGCTTTCAAAGCCATCTTGGCTCATGTTGCCTGGTGCTGTATCTCTACTTACCACGATTTTTCATTGCCTGCTTCATTCTTTTGATTGTGCTCATGGCACCATTTCTTTTCACCTCAAAATGTACATATGTACTTTAATTTATTGATTGCTACAATTCTCTTCTTGCAGGTGCTTGCGGCCATAGGTCCTGTATGTCCAAAATATACTAAACATACTGACTGGACTAACCGTACCTGGGTTAGCTCTTCCGTAATTGATCTACCCCGAGCTTCACTATTATGATCTTACCTTAATCTTCAAGCAGGAAATCGACCGCAATATTTTAGTATCAGATAGTGGTCCGAAAGGGGCGATGCCTGAGCGCCGGAAGTCTGGATCCTGGACACCATCGGCATACTTGATAAAGGAACCCAGCTCGTGGCAGAGCGGGATTTCGAACTTCTCGTCCTCCTCATCGCCAAAGGCCGCCTCATTGCACACGCTTTGGACAGTCTCCAGATACATCTGACGCCACTCCTCTGAAACCAGCGTTGGGGGTTGGATGCCATCCATATACTGGTGGTATAGCGTTTTAACGTCCGCCAACCGAGTGACATTTCTCTCCTCGCGAGATTGCCGGACTGGGCCTACCGGGGCGCAATGATTCCAGGTATCCTCGCCCTTGATTCCTAAATTACTGCGCCAGTAGGGGCGCATCTTTTCCAGTTTTTCTTCTTCAGTGGTGAGGTTCATGGCTTCGATTTCCTCGATCCGGTCTTGGAGGAATTGCCGGTTAGAGGACTCCATTTTGGGGCGGAATCGTTCTACTGCCAGGCGCATGATTTCATCTGCGTCAGGGCAAATGGCTGTGTGGTGTGTGCCATGCTTAGTAGTAGAGAACCCTAGATGGTGGGTTCACGGAGAAGGGCTAAAAAGAAAAAAGAAAGTGAATAAGATGAAATAGTGACCATGGTGTCGTGTGAGAGGCTGCCATACCAGTGTTTGCCAAGAGAAAGGGTCGTGATTCGAGTTATACTGTTACTCGGCCTGTTAATTTCTCCCAAACGCATTGTAAGTGGATTTACAAGAAAGGAATCATAACGACGAAACGTTGACAATATATAAGAGATTCCTGTGATGGAGCAGCAACCTCGACACAGTATGTCATGAAGACAGTCTACCACAGCCCTAGCAATTGTAGAAACAAAAAGAAGGCACTGGTACGACTCTAGGACCGCATGGTGTGTCCACAGCTACGACTGTTCAGCAGGGAATTGACGCTTTTGATTCCGTATACATCACTGATCTATAATCAACTGCTGTAATCAGGGCCCGCCATTGCGAGCCCAATCCCAAATGCTTCGTATATATTCATTAATCTAACAATATACAAACTACCCTTTCTATGAACAAACGTCTGTCGAGTCTATCATGCCACATTAGCCTTAAAGAATTGTGGGAACAGTGTCCGCAGCTCCTCAAGGCTTCGAATTATGTATTGCGAGGCCGGAACCCGAGGGACGGGGAGCGTCGGTTCGACGAGGTGGACAGTAGTCCAGCCACGTTCTGCGGCGTGTTTGCAATTCAAGTGGGAATCGTCTGCCGATTATCAGCACGATACTGAGAGAAGGTCATAGGGCGAAAGGAAATAGCATACCAACAAAGTAGCACTGCTCTGTGCTCGGCACCCCGGCTTCAATCTCCGCCTTCTCATACATCTCCTGGGATGGCTTGCAGATGAGCGGAGGCCGCGAATAGTCGCAGAATGTGATGCCCTCGAACAGATCATCCACCTTCAACAACTTGATGACACGTTGGGCATGTGTGATGTAAGCGTTTGTGAGCAGCCACAGCTTCACTTTGGACTTGTCGATATCCTCGAGTAACTTCCGCAATTTGGGATCCGGTTTGAGGATTTTGTCTAAGGGGAGGGCATCGTCGACTTCGCGATTGAATTCAAGGGGGTCAATGGTGTGGTGACGTGTGAGGCCCTGAATCGCAAGACCGTACTCCTTGTAGTATTTCTGGTGGAGCATGTGGGCGTCTTCAGCGGAGAGGGAGAGGTGCTTGACGAAGAACTGGTCTGCCACGGTGATTAAGTTAGATGGGTTCATCGTCCGAATGCGTTCATATCGAGGAGATTTGAGGCAACTAACGGATCAATGCCTGCATCTCATCATGGATGTTGCATTCTGCGCTGGCCATGTCAGTCCTCATCGGAGCGCTCGAGTCGGCGGGGCTCCTGACCTCGAGAATAGAGCTGCGCATGACTCCATATCAGCCTGGGGATTTGCAAAAATGCAACAGATGTAAGAAGCAATGCATATACATACACAATTGTCTATGTCAAAGAAGAAAACTGGCCTCGGATCGGGATCAGGTACTGCGCCAGTGGGACATTCCGCAGTCGCCATTGTTCTCCGAGGGTGAATGATATCACTGTGAGAGTTAAAGGGTCTATAAGGGAAAGATGAGGGAAGTGTAAATCTAGGTTGGATTCTCTGGCATATGCGATAAGTCCGTAACATCAAAGGAGTCATAGATAAAGGAGAAAGGAAGTAGAGTCACCCCCCACTATGATTCACATCTTCATGAACCCAGACGCCTTGGATCCGCGGGAATAACCGCCCGCATTGCAATTCCGTACAGAGCTTAGCGTTGACCGCCAAAGGTCACGGACTCGCAGACTGAGCCTAGCGTAGCTTACAGTAACTCGTTCGGACTCGAAAGCTTGCATTCTGCTACTTTTTTTTTCATTCTCCCTTGACCACGTCAAAGGCGAAAAAATACACCCGACTTTCCTGCCCTCAACCTTCCATGTTTCCTGTCGATAGAGTGATCAACTCATCACAGGTGAACTAGGGTTAGAAGGGCTTTGGATTTACAGGTACTCCAAGTACCGATATAAATTACTCCCATAAGCCGAACCTCCCGCCCGTGGAGCTTCAGCGTTATGGCAACTCCCGGGACAGCTCAACTTCAAGCTGCAGCTATATCAGCCAGCTTACCGGAAAGTGAGCAGGTGAAGGAATATGAGAAGATCTTGAAAATTAGCGACGACATCTTTACTGGTGCTCACCCTAGGTTGAAAGTTCCCCAGCAATTTGTGCGCAAGACCGCGTCTCGCAATGCCCCTAATCCCCCTACCCCAACAAGACAAGCTCAGGTAAAGACTGCTGGCGGTCAGATTCCTTTCCAGGGTAATCCATCTCAGTCCAAGCCAGCAGCTGCAGGAGTCGCGAGTGCGCAGACCCTCAAAAACAATGCGTCATCTGGTGTGACCAGCGCGCCTCAGTCTACGCGTATTGTTCCCAAACCTACGTCGGAGATTGATCCCATCTTCTTGACCAAATCCGATGATCTAGTTAGAGCGGAATTGCAGTTGCAACGACAAAGAGTGGAAAGGGCGTTACGAGAGCAGCTGGAACAGAAGAAGCAAGAGTCCCGGCAGCGGGCCGCCATGCAGGACGCGAAGCCAGACTTTGATGTCTCGGAAGTTTTGAACAAGGCCTTTGAGCTGGTTCCGCCTTCACCATCCATCGATGTTCCTGGGCCCAATGGCATGGAAGCCCCCAGTGACTCGTATGATGAATCGTTCGACTCCAGTAGAGCCCCTGACTCTCCGATTCAGCAGAAGCCGTCTTCGGCGCCGCTTTCTAATTCAGAGGAAGTTGCTACTGAAGCTCCAGTAGAGAATTACTCAGATGAGTTGCAACGGCTTGAAGCCCTCAACAGACCTGCGTCGGATCAGGAAATGCAAGATACTTACCCCGTTGCAGACCGTCAAAGGCAGTCCCAGCAGGTTCAGGTAGATCCCACGAACAACAACTTGCAGGCCATTCAACAGCAGGCGGATGCTTTCGAAGAGCCCGAGTATTCGCCTCCGGCTCCAGATATACCACCTATGGAAAGCACAGACCTTCCACAGCCGATCGAGCAGAGACAACCACATACGGACAAGCGCAGTGGACAAGCCCAGGAGCCTCCTCGTCCCCATCAAAATCGTCGCAAAACAGTATCACCTAGGGATAACGTGAGGGTTGTGCGCAATCATATCACATCTCCTGCGGCACCGCAGCCGTCAAGAGTTTCTCCTCTCGCCATAGCTAAGGTTCCCACCATCCATCACCCCAAAGTCCTACCAGTAGACTACAGCTCTAACCGGATGCAGCATGCGAGACAGGATCTTCGGGCTCCCAGTCCTGAAATTCCGCCCCAGCAGTTGATGCCGAGGAAACGTAGGAGACTACAGGAAGACAGAAGCCGACCCGGCCCAGTCTCTTACAGACCGCAAGCAGGTGGCAGTACCGAGGCATATATCAAGGAAGAGCCTGTCTCGCCGCCGCCCTTTACTGACACGGCACCCACAATCCATCCTCAAGAAAGGCCAATCTATATTGACATTGCCTCGCCTCGTCCTCCCTATACACCAGTGTACGAGAGAATCGAGCCGGTGCGGGAGCCTGCATATGAGCTCGACCCTTATCATGAAGCTCACGTTGAAGCCGCATACCCAAGAACGGTTTCGAGGCTTAGTGTTCGGCGCCCGGTACGTGATGACCAAGATCTACGGAGGGTCGCAAGCTTGCACCAGGCTCGGCAACCCGAGTATGCTCGGGAGTACATTGAGCGACCCAGCTCTCGGTCCCTGCGCGCTGCATCCTACGCTATTGTGGAGCGTCCTCCGCAAGAAAGAGTCAGGTACTATGACGACCCGCCCCAAACTTATGCCAGACACTACGCCCCGGCGGTTGAGTCGCCGACATCGCCGCGCTACCAAGAGGCCTGGATCGAAGGAAGTGCGACGGCGCCTCCACGGCGGATCTTGATAGACGAGCATGGAAACCACTATCGTGAGAGGACTCCGCCGCCAAGAATGCAGGCAATGCCTCCACCCCTAGGTCGAATCCCGCGAGGCGAGGTCTACGATGACGGCGCAACACCTATACGTCCTGGTGGTAGCGTTCGAGCAGTCTCCGTTGTTGAGGATCCATATGGTGGCCGGAGATACGTGCAGGAAATGCCACCTCCGCCAGCAGCTTATCGACGGGTGACGGAATACCCTCGACCCGCCCCGAGCGAAAGACGCAGTTACGTCACGCCACTGGTTGATGACAGAGAGCCTTACCCACGCAGCAGTAGCGTCCAAGTTGGCGGGTATCCTGCGACTCGTGCGACCTACGTTGAAGAGGCGGAAATCCCGCGTGAGAGGATCATCAGGATGCCAAGTGTGCGGCCCCCTGCTACTCGATATGAGGAGCCTCGGGAGATGATCCCGCGGATTGCAAGCGTCCGCCCAGCCGAACGAGATGTAAGTGTTTATGTAGACGATGATGCTCGACGGCCAAGAGAATATATCGAGCGACCTGTTTATGTTGCGCCACGCCCTCTGGCGAGAGAGGAAAGATACTATGAAGGGGAGCCGGAGCGGGTTGTCCTCGATGGGAGAGAGGCAGTTCATCAGGTTTCCCAGCGTTATTGAGGAAGCCGAATCATACCGGTGATTAATTTGCATGTATGGAGTACCATCACAAGTTATCTAACGCCTAATGTACACTGTCTCTAGAACATGAAAGGGTATTCGAAGATCAGTCCACTAAACCATCACTGGCATCAGAAATACCACTACAGTATGAGAAGGAATGACACGGTATTTTCCAAAACACGGAGGCTCATCATCTGCAAGGATTTGGAGTAGTGGTAGTGGCAGTGGTAGTGGTAGTGGTTAAATATTCTGCAGTTTATGGGAAGAATCCCTAAGCTAGGTAGTGTAGCTCCGGCCACATATGTACCTGTGCATGATTCAAGCACACAGCGTACATCCATGCTGCGTCTTGCATGCAAAGGTAGCCACTTTCACAGTGGAAGACTGCAGCTGCAGCATCGCTGGAGGACTCTAAGTCCAGACGCTTAGCGGTCTCCGTATCGGTGAGAATCAACAGGCAAAATTTTGTCTTCATGCGTTAATCATGGCGTGTGTTGGGCTGTGCGCATCCCATGCTCAGGACTCATAGGAGTGTTTCCACTGGGCTAGGAAGCCTAACTACGGATATGGTTAAGGTATTTTGTGGGCTATATACCTGGTAGATAGTCGCTAATGGCAGAGTTGCGCGGTACAAAGACGGATGTATATGCACGGCGCAGGCTACCAGGGGATTGCAGAGGCATCATCCGGGGAATAATTTGCGGGATTGATTCCAGTTGGTTGATGCGCATATGCCCATTTGTTGGTTCCTTGGGCTTAAAGGGCAGAGTTAGAGTTACCTACCTACGGTAGATACTTTTTATGATGTACAGAGTACAGACCTAGTAGTCTACTCTGTGAGACAGACCCACAACTAGCACTAGCAACGATGACGTCGTTGATTTTAGGTCGATGAGGACTTGGATTTGCTACTTTTTCTTACAGAGATACTCTAAATGATTCTCAAGACGCATGGATCTTTGTCGTTGACACTGGTTTAAAGTACGAATGGCCGTCTTGGTGAAGAGCGATGGTTGCTTTGATGGTGCCCAGGCATACCTTTGAGAGACATACCTTTCCTGCTGGGCTGGGGATACCACGGAGGCATCCTCCAATTGCGCGCTACAGGTCCCTTGGCTTCGATTGAGTTGGAATGGTCGAATTTCATTGATATGATTGGCATTCTTCAGGTAGATCCATGGTGCTACTTGATCAGGAAAAAGTGTAGACAGATGGTCATGTATGGGGAACAGGAAACAAGGTCGTAAATTCCCGAATCTTCGCTGCTCCTCTTGGAAGTATGGGGTAGAGAGGTATCTCATGCACTGTACTGCTGATGTCCTGATTTGCGCTCCCCTTCAAGTTCCGGGTGGAGCAACCAAGTACTTGCATCGACAGTAATCATGATGAGATAGATGGGAACTGGTGACGCAAGACCTCGTATACCGGACTTGAACAACTACCTAGAGAGGTGATTGTGAAACAGATATCAAAACGTCTTCTGACAGAACGAAATCGTAGTGTGTTGAAATCAAATTCGCTGCAGGAGAGGGATCAAGTCCCACTTCCATGCCGTCCCTTGAGGATCACCCATTGTGGCATGTTCGAGTGGCAAATCATGTATTACAAGCTGTTAAGTCAACAATAGTACCTTAGTACTGTATAAAATCGGCCAGGTAAACACAAACAGCTCACTATGAACAAGGGACTCCTTCAATTCCCGAGCAAATTCAATTCGGTCGGCTCGAGGGCCGGAACAACCGGGCGAGGTAGTTAGTAACTCGCGTGCACTGACATGAGTTCCTCGGTAATCGGACCAAGTTTTATGACATGAATACTCTCATTGATCGGTCGTATCCTCACATGTGGTTGAGAGGATGTGGTCATAACACAGCAAGCATGCTGTGCGGAGTGCAGACTCCGTCAGTTGAGCTGTCGACCTCAGCTGTTGCTAAGAAATACAGGTGACTGCCATTTTCGCTTGAAACCCGCGAAAGGGAATAGCGTGTGGGCCGTGCAGGAAAGACGAATGCGAGAAGAGCAAGAGATGACAGCCCATAATCGTACAGCCACACCTTTCTCCCAGATCAGTATGACTCGTTGATCTCTTCTTGCGGGATTTTAGGTATTCGCTGTTTTGAAGGCTTGCATATGTGAGAGAAGAGAGGATTGTCTTGAAAACAAGGATTAGAGCAACGGAAGCCACTATGAGGTGCCTGAGGATATAGATTGGTTATCTGCCTGAGGCTGCCTCCTCTCGAAAGCAGGAAACTTGAGAGCACAAACCCTCAGAAACCATTATCACATTATCATCATCACTATTGTAGCCATGTTGACCACAACGAGTCAACGACAGTCGACGATCATCATGATGATTATAATTGCTTTGTCGGTGATCAAACCGTACTTTGTCCTGAGCCAGTAGTCTAGACACTGGACCAGACCTTTGACCCGCATCTTCCGCCTTAAGGAAAGACAAGGCCACTGGGCTGAGAATGATAGCATTCTGCGAAGAGAGTCGAGATCAGATGAATCGAGTAGCTCAATTGTTCATGCTTTATCTACCTTCTATTATTTACTATCTACTAGATAGAACTATCATAGGAAGAATCTTCCAAGGAGAATCGAAGACCAAGACCCGTTCCCAGTCCGCCGTACTTAGACCAACTAAGGAACCTGAATTCAGCCAACCCAGACCGTTCGAGGAAAATACCTTCAGCGCCCAGAGCTGTCTGTCTGTCTGTCTTTCTCTCTCGTCTTCTTCCCTCTTACTCACATTCTCACTTCCTCACTTCTCTTCCTCTTACTCCTCCACTTCTCCCCATCTATTATCTTCTCTTCATTGACAATTCTTCCTCCTCTTTTGGCTTTTTTTTCTTTCTTTTTCTCTTTTTCCCTCCACTTTTTCCTTCCTTTCCTCTTCATCTGCCTCCATCTCCCCACTTCGATACCCTTGTCTCGTTGATCGAATTGCTTTGCCTTTTCCCACCATTCCGGTTCCATAACGCCCTTGTCCACCAACACCATTCCATCCGAACGCCGCCCTCCCCCAATCATCCCTGTCGAGAACGGCGACTTCATCCTTCTTGAGATCGATCCCTCCTCTCCTTTCTCTTCACCAAATTCCTTCCGGATCAACTTCCGCCATTTCCCTCCTTCTGCTCCCTCTCCTCTCTTTCCCCTCGACTTGTTCAAGGGGTCAGAGATTCGATTTATTCTTGTGTCATGCACAAGATCTCCAATTTTACGGGCCAGGCCCGTCATGGCTGGGAGCGGATGACGCCTACCTTTGGCATGTCTAGACCTCATACTGACATGACCTCCCACACTCTTCGGCGGCCGCATGGCGCTCCTCCCATGACTCCTCCCACCGGAATTGATCCCACGGTCAACCTGTCTTTCAATGTCCCATTCTCCTCTACCCTCGCCGGCCCCGATATCGATGATGTGATTCATGCGAGTCCCGGCGCCCTTCAGCGCTGGTCTTTTCCTGAAGGCACCCCGGAAGGAACCCCGGTCTACAACCTACCCGTCCACGCCAACAACGTCGAATCTCTTCGCAGATTATGCCGTCAGATTACGGAGTCCAGTAACGGTCGCGTTGAAGCGGCGGTTACATCTTCAGAACCCAAGTCGGTTCCCTCATTGCAGAGACGACCTCAAGGCTTGGTGACCAACGTCTGCATCACGGGTGACGGAGAGACTGTGCGCAAGATGCGGGCAAAAATTCTCAATGAGACACCCATCCTACTGGTATGAAACTAGCTTCCGATCCAGAGCGTCATATCTAGGTGGTTGTAATATCCGCTAACTTGTCTATCCTCCTCAGCGCTGCGCGACCGTCGATGTGGACATACATCTCATTATGGATGGATCGACCAAGGGCGTTCGATCGAGTGTTCTGGAACACCTGGATACCTTGGCTGCCTACACGGGCACCGACATCTTCCTACTGAGCCCCAAGTTTCGTGATTCGGACAGTTCGGTGGTTTCATCCTATGGATACGCTTCGGACAATGGGCTGGATCATCGGTTCCGGGTTTCCATCTACGGTGACATGGAGAGTGCTGAGCATGCCAAGACCAGAGTTTTGATCATGATTGACCAAATTGTGAGTTTCTTCTCTCCAATCAGCTTGACCTTGGGCACTAATGCATCGCTAGCTGAAACGTCATGTGGATGCCATGAGATTGGAGTTGACCATGCATACTTTGGTCTGCGGTCGGACGCGCAAGAACATCAAGCTCATCGAAGCGGCTACCGGCACGGCAATTTACTTCCCCCCACCCTTCCCACGGATTTTCGGCTACACCCCTCCAGGCGCCCATCGCCGCAGTGAAGATGAGGTGTACATTACGGGTGATACCCAGGAACAGATTGCTCGTGCCAAACAGAAGTTGCGGGAGTTGGTGATGGGAGTCAAGATCTACGTCAAGGATGTCATCGTCAATTCCAACAAGATTGACAACATTCTGCTTGACCGCCTCGACAAGGTCCGGAAGGTGATGGAAATGAACGGCTCCTATGTTCTCTTCCCGCAACTCGGCAGCCAACGGGGCCTTGTGCGTATCCAGGGCACCGAGGTTCTGCACGTTGAGCGCACTGTGCGGGAAATAATGGCTCTGGTGCGTCGAGCCGTACAATCTCTGACCCCATTTGATTCACTTTCTAACAACTGTGTAGGCCGGTCAATTCTACAGTGCTTCATGGTGGATCATCATGCCTGACCCTTCCCAAGGCGGCTTCCGCGCTCCTTCTGCTGCGGACATCCGCACAATGTTGTCTGACATCTGCACCAATTCGGGCGCCGAAGTCAGCTTTGACAATCTCACTTTTACCATTAATGGGTCGGACGACGCGGTGAAATCCGCAATGATGGTTGTCAATCAAATTCCATTTGTGAAGCGAAGCCAGTACCAAATGCGCGTCAAGATCGAGCTTGCAAATGAGCACAAGGAGTTTGTCAGTGGAAAGAAGAACGGCAAGATCAATAAGATCATGGGTCAGAGTAAGTCTTCTTAGCCGTTCCAACAAACTGTTTGCAACGTCTCATTGACCTTCTTCAGGCAACGTTCAAATCATATTCGATGGCTTCAACGAGTACAACTTCTACATTGACGTCTGTGGCAATCAATATGAGTCCACGAAGAACGGTCTTGATCTTGTTGAGCAGGAAATGCCTGCTTCGATCTCTTTCCATGTGCCGGATCAGTACCACAAGCGGATCATCGGAATCGGCGGACAGCACATTCAACGCATCATGAAGAAGTATTCCGTCTTCGTCAAATTCTCCAACGCTATGGACCGCGGCGGTATGGGCAAGGAAGATGATGACATCAAGGTTGACAATGTCATCTGCCGGACGCCAGCTCGTAATGCCCAGTCGCTCGATCTGGTCAAGCAGGAAATCATGGACATGGTTGAGAAAGTTGTAAGTGGTCGATCTTGTCGTGGTAGCCCGTTAAAAGTTGGTTTTCTAATAGCCATCCAGGATGCCGAATACGTTTCTGAGCGTGTTGTCATCAATCGTTTGTATCACCGTGAACTGCTTGCCCGCATGACCGAGATCGATGAGCTTGAGAAAAAGTGGAATTGCAAGATCGAGTTCCCTAGCACAGAGCTCGCTAGCGATGTCGTAACTATTTCTGGGCCCGAGTATCAGGTCCCTCAGGCTGTTGATGCCTTGCTGGGAATGGTGCCAGAGAGTCACGAACTTCTTTTCCAGAGCTCTCAGGAGTTGCGTGACTTCTTCAAATCTCCCGAATTCCGCGAAGATGTCTGCTGCAAATTGAAAGAGCAATACGAAGTCGATACTTCGGTGGACGCAAACCCCGAATCGCCAATCTCGGAGACCGGTTCGGCTTCCTCGACCTTCGCTCCCGAGGACCGTGTTGTGCTCGGGTACACGCGCAATAACGCCGGTGGCCTCAAGGATGCCATCGATTTCTTGATCTCCCGGCTTGTCGCCCATGGCCTTGATGCGACCACGGTCAAGGGTGCGATCCCGCGCCCCAAGTCCGACTCGTTTGAAGAGTCCCTCCCGTTCTTCGACTCGAAGCTATTGCAGCATGCTCCCACGCCCATTGTTACCGACTCCCCCACCCGGCCCAATTTTCCCGATGAGACGAGCGAACGAGGATCGATTTTCGAGAGGCTTCGGAAGCCCGGCAGCATCTCCTCGTTTTCTTCTTTCATTGGTCGTAAGAATCATTCGGCCTCTCCCGGTTCGTTCTTCAAACACGCATCTAGCAACGCGTCAAAGGCCTCTCTTGTTTCTATGGAGTCCCGAGACAGTGGCTACCGCAACCCATGGAATGACTCGGGTGTGAATCTGCCGGAGGACGACTTACCTGTCCTTGGCAGTTCCCACAGCCACAGCAACAGCACAAACGGTTGGCCAGCACGTTTTGATACCAAATTTCCGTTCGGTACCGCGCCGGGCGACATGACTCCCAAGCATGATCCCCGCGCATCTTTTGATAGTGGTCGTCCTAGTACTTCCAATTCTACTTCTGGATACCCGGCTCCTATTGGGCCACCGCGTTAAATCAAGATATCAGTTTGCAGCACTATACCCCAAGGCACTTGATCTGCTGTTTCGAGAAGTTTGTTTTCAGCGGTTTTGTTTTTCCTGTTTTCGGTTTCGTTTCCATTTGATACCACAGACAGCATGCAAGAGGGATCGCCAGGAGATCTCTCGAGTAGGACGGAAAAGAGCATTGGCTGCTCTGTTCTGAATTGAATGACGTTCTACTCCTGCGTCTTCTCTTTCCCAAAACCGGCCGTTCTGCGTTGTTACTGATTAGTCTGCGTGCCATATGTTTGCGTTTCTTGTTTCGTGCTTATTCCGGGGTGTGTGGAGAGACGGCAATGCCGATTTTGTCTTTTACATGGGAAACACATTGGAGGGTCGAATCTTCGTTCAAACATTCAATATATGATACCAAGTGGAATGATGGTGTATGGAGGTGTTTGCATGTCTGGTCTTTCTCTGTCTCAATCTGCTTTCTTCTCCACCATGGAGTTGGAGACTGGTTCTGTTTGACTGCCTGATGTTGGATCGTTTTATATACCTTGATGCACACGGATATCCCAAGACCTTGAAGTGTAGACAGAATACCAAGTGACTGCTTTTCTGATACTCCATACATCCTGCTTCTTATACCACAGGTAGCCTACGACAGATTGCAATCATCCATACAATCGAATGTAAGGTATATTATTATCCAATCACTTCCCGACCAACGACAAAGAGCGCAAGCCTAACCCGACCCGCAGACCGAATGCTGCAGGCACGCACATTACGCAAGGGGACTCATCACACACGGAGCAAAGGCTGCAAAACAAGAGAAAAGCGGGAAATATCTATCGACATGAATCGAACCCTGCATGCAAGGCACATGCATCTGGCAGGTGCCTCGAGCACACCACGATAACGTGTGAATTGCATAGAGCATAAAGCACTCGAAATGAATGACAGAAAGGAAAACTAGCGGAAGAATCAAAAGGCCAGGCCGATGGTTGATTGGCGGTGATTGGGACTCGCGTAGTACTCCAACTCGCTGTATGCGAGTTGCTGTTGCTGGCCTTCGTAGATGGTGGGGTAGGGTCTGTCGTCGGGGATGGACATGGATGTGGATGGGAGGGCTGGTGGGGCGTGTGAGAAGAAGGCCCGGGATGGAAAGGCCTCGAGATCTTTTTCGGATAGTTGATTTGGATTGAGGTCTCGCGTGTTCCGTGATGCGGGCGTCCTGGGACCTAAGCCTATGGTGGTTGTTGTGCTCGGTGCGGAAGAGACGGCCGTTGAGCCGCTGAGGGTGCGTGAGCGGATGCGGAAGGCGTTTGCGCTTGCGCTCCCGCTCCCGCTCTTTTCGGCCCGGGGTTTCCAGGAGACAGGGGGAGAGGCTTTGCTGCCTGTTTGGAGGAGCCATTGCGCGACGCGGCCGGAGCGGGATGGGGTGGTGTTTGGGGTTTGGGTTGAGACGTCGTTCTCGGAGAGGGTGGTGGACGAGGGGTTGGCTGTGGATGTTTCCGTTGACGATGGGGAGTTGCCGGTAGGAAGAGGTGGTAGCGGCCTGTCCTGCAGGGGAGTTTTGGGGGGTGTCTTGGGGGGCACCGCGATGGGCGACGTGATATCGCTGCGTTGGCGTTGGGGCATTGACCCGTAGCCAGCCGAGGACTCCAGCCTGGGGTGTGTTGGTGAGAACAAGGCCTCACTGAGGCCGGTGGCGGTCGAGGTACGGGCTGAGAAATGAGGTATCCCAGGGCTTGTGATGGGAGATTGCTTGTCCAGAAGCTGCTCCAAGTTGGCAAGGGAAGATCGACGGGACCCTGATCCTACGGGTTTGCGGGCTAATTGGAAAGATGACGAAGAGTGATGATGAGATCGAGCGCGGGAAATACGTGAAGGGTCAGTGGGAGAGACAACTGCTTTTGCAGGCCAGGCAAGAGATCGTCGTCGGTCCTCCTGTGAAAGAAACTCGTCAAAGGTTGGCAGATCTGAGAGACGGTTGCCCGGTGTGTGAATCTTCAGCACGAGAGGTTGAAACTCCGCTGGACTGGAGGCAAAGGATTGGAAAGACTCAACTCTCCTGAAGTCTGTCGGTGCACTGATCCTCAATGGGGTGGTGGACTGCCGCTTGAACGACATGCTGGCCCTGTTGGATGCTCGAGAGGCGATGCTTCTGCCCTCCGTTATCCATGATGGAAAGGATGAGGTCCGAGGCGGAGGACCTGGGCTCGGAAGGTTATCATAGACCACCAGCTTCATTGGAGGCACGAGATGAGGTTGAGTGTGACATATCCTCATCTCTCGTTCGACGCCTGGATTGCAAGACATTAGAGTCTGTTGATGACACATACCGTCAGGAGAGGAATACATACCGTTTGACTTCATTGCTTTCTGGTAATGTGAGCCCTGAACATCACCTTCAGGGCGCAGACAGGACAAGCAGGACGCAATCCAACCAGTGAACACGGATCCTGCTTGTTCAATTGCCAGCCTCATCGCCGTCCGAGCTTCAAAGCTGTTGCTCCATCACTTCTTGGAGATACAGAACTGAAAGCGTCTCAAAAAAATAAGGTGTTAAACATGAAAGATAAAGAATGAATCACCACAAGCAAACGGTAACAGACAGACCAGCTGATATTCACCACCCCAAAACTTTAGAGAGGCTGGAAGCTCTAGGCCAACGACTCAATTCACTCTCAACCAACAAGAAAAGACCCCTGCCTGGGGAGGTCCATCCATCATATACATAGGCCGCATGGGCAAGCGACAACAAGCACGCAGCTCAGGATGAAACGGAATAGCGATCCTGCATGATGCAGCTGCATCTAACCTGATTCAAGTAACGCCTGCTGCGCTAAGCAAGCTGTGATCAACTGATAATTTCCCACGAGGCTCAAAACATGGTCATCAGAACCAGTCACAGTGGTCTGTGGGACACCATCTCGAGTAGCGTGTTGGATCGTTGATCATTGCTCAGACAGGTTCTGCATCTCATTTGTTGGCAGCAGCAGAGTAAGTCACATCGACTGGCTTCGATCGCCGACAGTTCATCCCACGACGGGCTAGAAGCGACGGTGCCTGACTGGAGTACTGGTGGTTGATTCTCCCGCTTTAGTGGTGGGCGGCGCGTAAAGAGGCACCGCTATTGCTCAGCCGCAGAAACTAATAGGTTTCTATCACTACCACGTCGCCAGGAGACAATAATAGAAGTCATTTAGCCTTTCTCTGTTTGACCAACGTCATTCCTATCATCGGCTTTCTGGCCAATATACGTGATTACCTCGTGGTGAGCAAAAAGGGCCGTCTCGTTTTGCTGGCTTTAGGTATCGATCAATCGTATCCCATATATTCAATTGCCAAATGGAAAATAATATATCTTAGAAATTTGTTTGAACACCCAGAATGATTAAATCGCAGGTCGTCCCGTCATTAACCGTTTGGCATGAGGTGATGTTAACATCATCCATCTATTTACCCCAAACGTTCTCCTCTTCCAGGCCCCCATAGGACCAAACAGGAGTTCTCGACTCTTCTTCTTCGGATTCTTCAGGCTCTTTAACAGCTTCTGTGTTTTCATTAGAGGTGCTCCCACCCTCTGCAGGCGGTGCTGTGTGGTTCTCCTCGTCGACTGGTTTACCGGAAGGCCTCCTGAATGTGAAATGATTAATGCTATTTCCCAACCAATTCTCGAAAGAATCGTAAACTTACTGAAAGTGTTTGTTTTCTGGTTCGACCAATGCTGAACCAAAAGCTCTCTCAGCTTGCGCCCGTTCCTCCTCCTCAGCATCTCGATTTTCGACTACGAGGTCAACTAACTGGCTGCGGTGGGAACCTTGGGTGGTCAAGGAGCTTGAACCGCGTTTGAGGGAAGGCGACTCGTGACTGCCTTTTCGCCGGGAGTGACTCGAGCCATTGCGGTCATTCCGCTGCTCACCTTTCCCGCTCATCGTACGGGATTTCCTGTGCTTCCGGGCTCTCTTCACTGGCTCGGCGGCTTGCTCGACATTCTGGTAGGTTGTAGTACTCGGCAAACGTTGATCTCTTGGAACTACGTTGGCTGTAATTACGGGGTACTGGAAAAAGTCAGCTCTCCACTTCGTTCTTCGTCGTCACGGTGGGCAAGACTTACATTCCAATCCCCAAACTCTAACGCGCGAGCTTTGGTGAACAATTCCTCGTCGTCTGGATCCAGAGTGGTTTCGTCAATGTCGCTATTTGAACGGAAGCGCTCCAGAGCGCTGCTTCTCCGACTCCGGTTACTCGATTCTGCATCAGCCAGTAAAGGAGTTCGACTGTTGACCTCTCCTGGCTTGGGAATCCAGTACTTTGCCTTTCCGCCTCGCTCGTACCGCATTCCGTCCATCACGCGTTTAACTCGAGATTTAGACTCAGCATGCGGGATGATATGATCGCCGGAATCAAATAGCCTGTACTCGTAGTTCTCACCCCGAAGAGTCATCTTTGTGTCTTCCACCAGATCTTTGGCTCCAAAGGCATCTCGAAGCGCATACACAACCGGCAGCCGAGCGGCGGAAATGGTTGGATCCGCGTAGTCGTGCCAGGAGAACGCGTACCAATGGGTGATGGCGAAAATGGGCATCTCAAAACAAATCAAGCTATCCTGTATTGCTGCAGCGAGGTTGTCGGGTGTGTATCCTGCCACCCCATTCGACAGGGCTCCTAACCACTGCAAAATGGACAAGAAGAAGCCCTGCCAATAGGAGGCAAAGATGATGAGTTTGACGCAGAGAAACTTGGGAACCGGCCGAAATGGCTGCAAGTCGTCGTGCAAGCAGACCCAGAACATTGCGAGAGAGTAGAGACTAACAGTGACGCTGACATTGTACACTATACCGGTCCAAAGGTAACCTGACTCCAGGCCGAGGTAGCCCTCTTGATAGGTATCCGTCGCTTTCATTATGATTGAGGCGATGGCCAAAATAGGCTTCAGCCATGTATACTGGAGGATCCCGCGCTTGACAGCTAGGAATGTGTGCGGATCCGAGATATCGACCTTTGGAAGGAAGTGATTCAGGGGCCACGCATGAGATACAGGAGGACGCCCATGTGTCATGATAATCAAAGCCCGCTCGCCGCCGAGAAAGTTGATGAGTAGCTGGAAGAATGTGTAGATTGTGAAGGCCTAAAGAGCAGACGTCAACACCAAGGCGCAATGGAACAGAGCTTCTGCAATACCTCGTAGACGTCGCGAATAGGATCTAGCCAAAGAGACGCTCGCCGTGAAACGATGCTCGACCAAGAAGCAACCGCATATATTGGAACCCTAGGCGAATGAGCTCATGGTCCCCTGCTGAGGAGCAAACACTAACATCAAGAGTATGCGAACAACGTATCTTTGGAGCAACGGTTTTCGGTAATTTTTACTGTGAAACAAGTCAGCGCATAGCTGATGAGTTCAGAGGGTCTTATCGCACGTCTGGAGCCATATGGACCTAGTTGGAAAGAACAGGTGATGTTAGCTTAGCGATCCTCGAGGTAATAGCCATACTATATGTGTTACTCACAAAAGTGACAGCATCGAAGCTACCAGTGCAGAGACGCCAGCAACTATCACCACAGCTCGAGCCAGCCTCGACCCTGTACCACCAGAAGAAGAGCCTGCAGTCATTGTCGTGAAGACTCCGCGGTACATGACCGCGCGTTTCGTTGATTGCTTGAGTCTACCCGCAAAGCATGCTGCAACCTCGCGGAGATAACAAAAATATCAGAACATGATCCTTCGAAGATAAAAGCAGCTGCTCTTCGACAAAAATAAGATCAAGAGCAAGATATTTCTCGAAATATGACCCGTGGCCGAAAAACAACAAAGGACGAAGCTGCTGTCCGACTAGCTAGATAACCCAAAGAAATCCAGACCAAGTCCCGTGCCGCATTGCGTAGGCAGGAGGGCTCAAAGACACCGCCTAGCCTCATCAGTTCAATGCCGAGGGTGAACCTCTCAACGAGACGAGGATTGAGCACTATGGTTTGCTGAGGTTCGAATTAAACATATCCAGTTGGTACGATGAGGTCGTGTCGGAGCCTCCTTCCCACCATTTGTCCGCTTCATTCGAGGAGAGATCGCTCGCTCTGCTGAGTCGCCATGTTTGCGGCCATCGGCGCACCAGATTAGGAAGAGATGGCCAGCACAAGCACGAGCTTGACAACCCTATCTTTAACCCCTGATCCCAGCTTTAACTGGTGAGGAATGTGGTGGCTATCAGATATTGACATTGACTAATTATACCCAAGGTTTTTCCTCCTTGAGCTCATCGTATCTTGCATCTTGTATCTTTCCCGACATTCCCCCCAGAAAGGACGCCAATTGCTAATTGGATCAACAGGGTGCTGTTTTTCCTGCTCTACTTTAATCGTCTCTTCGCAACTCTCCTGTCGTACGCTATCCGCGCCTATACCTGGCACTACTACCGTGCATATGTCGACATTCATGCACTCCAGATCTCGCTACTCGGAGGTAGGATCTTCTGGAAAGGTATCCGATACCACGGGGTGAACGAGACAATCTTTGTGCATGGAGGATTCATAACATGGCATTATTGGAAGCGCACAGTCAGACATACTGATCTGTCCTTGCTGAGTTCGGGCAATAAAAGGACGCCGGCCGGACCTCAACGCCCCGATACTCAGAGCTCGGACACGGCTGGCAGGGACAATGGCGAAGGAGAACAAGGAGGCCTGAAAGGAGCGGACAACTTTCCCTGTCGTATTACGATTCAGTTCTACGGCCTGGAGTGGTTTATATACAATCGCACGCCGGCATACGACAGTATCCTTGCCGGCTTTGGCCAGCCGATTGCCGGCGATGATCCGACAGCTCCACCGAGTTCTGCCGAAGCGCAAGGAACAGGAAAAGATTCGTCGGAGCCGCAATTGAAGGAAACCCGTCAGGAAAATGACACGGAAAGGAGAGGGTCACAAAATGTGGCTGAATCTTCACAAGAAATAGGGGAGAGTCTGTCGAGGCTGCTCCGACTCCTGCCACTCAAAATCGCGTGCGATAAGGGCGCCATTGTCATTGGAAATGAAAACACAAGATCAGTCTTGACCACCACCTTTGACAGTGGAACTGGTCTCATAGAAGCCTGCAATGCCGGTCCGTACGATCTTTACCGTCAGGTCTTTTCTTTTCAGATCAACCATCCTGTTATACAAATGCGACCCAACCCAGATTATAAGCAGAGCCAGCTCGCTGCTGCTGATGGATTGAGTTCAAAAAATGAAGACAAAACAGGCAGGCAGCGCAAAAGAGACACTATCTTCAATTACCAGTTCCAGAAACGGCGGGCATGGCACAGTATACGTGACCTCATTCCCTACTTCCAAACTTCAGTTGAGTCGTTTCATAATCACAACAAAAGCATAAACACGCCTAGAAACCAGACAGGCCTTCGGAACGATGCCCATTGGATTGGTCTATCCCGGTATCTGGACGATAGTACTCAAGACGACCATGAAGAATGGCATTCTGTTGAGTATGGAAGATTTTCAACACTTGTTGATAGCCCAAGCATGGCCATATCCTACTACTGGGATATTCCTGGATGCGTGGTGTCTCACCGAGACCCTGGGAAGATGTCAACTTCTGCGGCTTCCTCAGACATAAATGGTGCGCCACCACCAGAATGGGGCATCGACATCAAGTTGGATGGGGGCACTATCAACTACGGGCCTTGGGCCGATAGGGAGCGTGTCGGCTTGCAGAACGTGTTTTTCCCGAACACCTACCGCAGCTCCCAGTCCTCTGAACCATTAGCTCCTGGTGACCTAAGAAGAAACACAGTCTTCAAAATGAGACTGGAGATGAGCCAAGAGACAATGTTGCGCATCCCGACAAGGGAGCCGTCAAAAGACTGGCTGTGGAAAGGCCGGGCTGATGCGATCAGAGGAGCTACGAAACTAAAGAAGCAGCAAAAGAGAAGACAATCGCGCCCTGCGGAAGGTGATAAAAGTAACCTTGGCCCTGACATCCGTCCATTTGGTTGGCTGACCCTCCGCGTCGCTGGGGACTCCACTGTCACCTATACTATGGATATGGTGGCCTCGACTACAAGGGGATTCAACAATTTTCTGGATCTGGATCTTCGTGATTCTAGACTGTCCTCCAGTGTCAACCATGCATTGCTGTGGCAATGTCCTAGGCAGCTTGTCACCTGCGATCTCTCTAACCCCCTTTCCTGGAACAATCTTCGTACATGGACGTTTGACGTTAAGAGTCATAACATGGAGCTGTTTTTGTTGCGCGATCACATATTCCTTCTTACTGATCTCGTGAGTGACTGGGCGTCTGGGCCCCCACAGGAATACTTCACTTTCGTGCCGTTCACCTACACTCTCAACTTGTCCTTCGTCGATTTCAAGCTCTTTGTTAACGTCAATGACCTCAACATCATAAGCAATCCCTCCGATCTAGATGACAACCGGATGCTGGTGATCAAGGGCAAGAAGCTGACATCTGATGTCTTGATTCCTTTGACAACATATAAGCCGGAGCAAAATGCCGTCAAATTCAACGTGTATCTCGACAGTGGTGGAATAGACTTTTTGTCGCCGCAGTGGGATACTCTGCACACATTTTTGCAAGATCGATCAATTGCCACGCTCGACGGTCTTTCCCTCGGAGGGTCATACAATTATTATCTTTCAACAGCGCCGGATCTCACCGACACCTTGTTGCTCAGTATCGATGGTGTTTCACCTAAGCTCTATCTATATGGATTTTTGATCAAAAGTTTCATGACGATAAGGGAAAATTATTTTGGAGACGAAATGCATTTCAAAACCCTTGAAGAATTTCAGGAACTGGCATATTCCGAGGAGCGAGTTAATTTCCACAATGGAATTAATTCGAATCGGAAGTCGAATGACCTCGATGTTATCGTCCATGTTGCCGTTGATGATGCTTGTGCCCTTCTGCCGGAGAATATGTATGACCGCTTGAAATGTGTTAGGCTCACAACTCCCTCCTTGGAGGTTGACTTGCGGTTTACCAACTACTACATGGACCTTCAATTCTCAATTTCACCCCTGAGAGCAGCTATGGAGGTGCATAGGGTTGAAGGACCAGCCAGCATATCTGATACTCAGCTGTTCATTGATGGAACTTTCATCCACGGGCATCGACTATTTGGCCTGCCTCCTTCGGAGCCGACCTATGTTTGCAACTGGGACTTTGAAGTAGGGCAAATCCTTGGTGAATGTTCGGCGGAATTCTTGGGCTGCTTAGCTGCAGCCTTGCAGAGCTTCGATCAGTCTTTCGATAACGAAGAAAATGCTCTTCCGCCGTTGGTTCCCATTGCACTCCATGATGTCACCTTCCTTCGTGCCAAAATACAACCAATTCATATTGCGGTGTTGTCAGACCAAGAGGCGTTGATACTCAGCTCAGGGCTTATCACAACCAAATTCAACGACTGGGCAAATGCATCATTCTCAAAGCGCATGAGCCTTCTTGTACCCGATCTTTCCATCGCTGCGGTTAACTGCCGCGATATTGACCTGAAAGGAAGTTCGTCGCCGGCGGGTGTATCTCCCCTTGCGCTTTTCCAGACAACGATCAAACTGAGAATGGCACAGCGGAGGGCAGATATCGACGAGAATAGGAAATTACAACAAGAACATATCGGCGTGCACGACAAGAGGACTCAAAGAACACCATGGCTCATGTTTGATTGGGAAGATCTTGACCTCAGTTCGTTCCGCACTCCAAATAATCAACTTGCTCCTCCAACAATTGCCATACCTTCCATGCCTGAGCCTATTATCAAGCAGCTCCATACGTTATCCTCAGCGGACAGTCTCTCCGATTCCAGGAGTCAGCAAAGCTCAAGGAGCTTCGTCTTGCCTTCAGATAATTCGAGCGTTAGAAGTGGGAGAGGACGAACGAGGCGCAAGAAGATGTCTTTGCGAAATCAGCACGAAATAGGAAGCGATCGAAAACCCGAGCAACGGATTGATAACGATGCTCGAGACATATCAACATACAGCGAGGCCAGGGAATTTCCGAAGGCGCTCCATACAACAACCAGCTCCGAGTCCTCGAGTGCATGGACAATG